TTATTGTACCTGTTGTTCTCTCCTGTACAGGTGTGATACCACACACGCTACACAAAAGCCTGGGAACATTACAATTGAGTAGAAATACATACATCACACTACAGAAGACCACTATATTGAACACATGCCATATTGTTAGGAAATTCCTTAATACTGACACTGACACTGACACACACATTTAATTTTAGTTTTGTTTTGGTTGCTATGCCTTGACTCTGGTCCGGCATAGTACTCAGCCACCGGTGTGTACCGAGTATAACCCACTAAACCCAACACATAATAATAATAATAATAACCTCATCTGAAAATATGCTTGGTTTGAATTTAATAGCCAGGCTGTAGAAAACATTCTACAACCTGGCTATTAAATTTTTATTTTTGATAAAGTCTTTTAGAGAAATTTACGTATTCTTTTTTACTCCACCAAATCAGAATCGGTAATAATGTACTAACAAATTGTTAATAATACCTATGTATTATGTCCGTACCCTTCGAAAGTGATATGCAATAGTTTCTCTTAGATGTCGAGCAGTTCAGCAGATAGTCCACTCAGTCAAATGTAGGTTAGTAGGAAATAGTAAAGTATATTGTCTTGCATCTTTCCTCGCATTTCGTCCGCATTCTCTGTATAGCAGCATAATCTCGCAACACATTCGTGATTTTTACCGTGATTTATTTTTTATTTGTACCATAATTTTTTTCTTGCACGATACACTTCAAAGGACTATTTGATGATCGACTATCGTTTTCACAACACCACTTCTGAGTTTTATCTATAGGAACATAGTGTCGTGTCACAGCCATTTTTCACATTTCAGAGGCATATTGTTCGTATACATATGGTGGTATTCTGCTTACGGTTTATACATTTCTTACTAATTCAATGGTGCTCTATAACTTTCTGTTATTTATTTTTTCTGCAATTCTTATAGTTTCCAAGATAGGAACACTCACTTGCAAATCTTACAGCTAGGGCTGCTGCCATTAGTCTCATTTGATAGCTCATGATCACTTCACCATACCAATATCTTTCATTGCTCTATCTTCGTTCAAAACTTATTAGGTGGCTTAGGAGGATTTTATTCTGAGTTCCGTATACTATCAAAATGTAACATAATATAATCTTAATAAATTATTAAAAATTACAGAAAAACCTTAAAAGTTCTAATGGTTTTGATATTTTTCTATATAAAACATTCAAGAATTTAAAATACAATGTAAAGTTTGTTTATATTTTAGATACAATACATTTACTAGAATAATATAATTATTTAGGCCTATATAAATTAAATTTTTCTACTGTATTGAGTACACTACTTATTATAAATGTCAATATATTGATTATCACAATTTATATTAATTAGTATATTGTTTTGGAATTTAATTGTATTACTTAATAATTCATTTTTCCTGTTTCTTTTTTTAAGCTGAAATTTATTTTTACTGTTCTATAAATCTCTAATTTACGATATTAATTATTTAAATAATTATTTTTACATTTCTGTTGCATATTTAACAATCTTATTTGATTTTTCTATTAGATTATGAGACACTGCTTTATTATTGATAGTGCATATTGCTAAATTTACTGATATGTGTGTAACGAATAATTAGCTGTCAGCTGACTATTCGTTAAAAGATATCAATAAATGCAGTCAGCTGTAAATGAAATATATGTGGCTAATGTTTAAATCAACTTTTTATATAATAAAGAATTAATTATATATATTTAATTTACAATGCTATAATTTGAACAGAACTTTAGTTTTTCTGATAAAATTTTTTAGTTTCTGGAGTGTTAAAGAAGTTTCGACAGAAAAATATTATATAGTTCTGTTTCAGTTGATTATTTAATGATATAAATTACAGTTAGATTAGTCTTTTCAGCTCTCTTTAACCAAAACATGCTTAATCAATGATATTAATTTTAATTTACATTGACTTATTACCGATATGTTAAATCCAATCAATGATATGAATAGGCTTACATATAATTTTTTACAAACTTCAAGTATTTATACAACGCCTAATCTAAAAAACATTAGAGAAAAGCGGCACTTTATTAGATCTATATGCTTACAGCGAATGAATTTGTAAAAAAAAAGTAAAAAATAAATTTATATGCTTTCAAATAATGTAATTTATACTGTATATCTCACTATATTTAAATATTTATGAATAAAAATTTTACCTGAATATAATTTGTATTTTCAGGGCTCTTTGATCTTCACGATCAAGAAAAAATACTTAACTTTCGATCCGATTTTAGTAGAACACGTCCCGGTTTTTTCATTCGAGTAACTCAAAAAAATTGTGAACCGAAGTCTCGAGCCATTAGTCATACATCTAATATTTGCGATCGAATATTTACTAGTCAAGAATTCGAAATTAAGTCTTTAACCTATCCTAAAGGGGATGATCGAGCCATGGATTGTAGATACACTATAAGGAGAACCAGCAATAGAATTTGCCAACTACAGCTAAACTTCTTAGATTTCGAAGTAGAATCTGGAGATGATTGTCGTCACGCTTATTTTGAAGTTGATGGCAGGAGAATGTGTGGAAAATTCTCCGGTGGAGCTATAAGTAAGAATTCGAATTTTTTACTTTTTTTTATTCTTATATTTATTTATAATAAAAATGTTTTTAAATTACAAATACCATATAATTTCAAATCTGTTATTTGTTTATTGTATTTAAATTAACAATTTAATATTGAGAAAACAAGATATCAATTTCATTTACTTTCATAATATCTGAAATTCATTTTAAATTCGTATTTTCTATGATATATGTTAAGTTAATTTATAGATTTACAAAAAAATTTCACAAAATTCAATTAAACAGAAGTTATTTTCTTATTGTTTTGTTGAGAATATGCAATGATTAATCTAAACTTGAAAAATTCTTTATTGTGTTAATTATAATGGTGTGTTTTCAACTAATGGTTCTCAAAAATGCTGTTCAGCCATTAGGATTACATCTGCATAGTTGTGTAGAAGCACGAACGTAATTGAAAATTGGACTCACCAGTGACCAAGCGTTTCTGTTCCCTAAACACTAGAAGTTTGGTCGTGGGTTCGCGCCTCGTCAGGACAGACTGGCCACATCGAGTTTTCCAGACTTTCTCCACTTCTATAACGCTTCAATAGGAGCCAGTGACCCTTAAAAAAACTCCCGGAAGGCATCCCCCTAGACAGATTGCCTAAGTTCAGTGATCTCATTTACGCGTAAATGTTCGTTTACTGATATCGTAATAACAAAATTTTTCATGTTTGTTACATTTTTATTAATATTACAGTCTTTTTCTTTGTCTTCTCCAAGGGGTCGGCTTTTCTGAATGCTCATTTCCATTTCTTTTCTTCGTTTTTTTCCACCATTTCCAGTTTCAAGTTCGAAAGAATAAACAGAGTTAGCGTTCGATAGTCAGTTAACTGTAAAAAATATTTGCAGAATCAAAATAAAAGTTAATATTACACAATGTGTTTTATGAACGTATCCAATTTAAATTTATTTATAGAAAATGCAAATTAAGAACAATAAATAATACAACAACACAGAACAAAAGTTACAGATGTAAAAAAATGGCGGTAAAAGATAGCATTATTCAATGTTTTTTAAACCCAATACTTAGTTATAATAAATAATAGGTTCTGCCTTCTAAATTTATTTACTTATTGTTATTACCACCTAACTAGAAAAAAAATAACTAAAAATAATTTATTTAAAAAATAATATATATATATATATAATTTAAGCCATTTTTGTAACGATTTTAAAGAAAATGTAATTTTTGCCACAAGGGTCTTATCAGTTCCATAAACCAGTGAAAATTCTTCGATACAGAACAGATGGAAGCGCTACTCAGCGTGGTTTCCATATTTTAGCTCGACAAATGGAATGCCTATTGGCAGCAAGAGGTCCAAGACCCTGCGATCGCACCTTTCTCGGTCCTCAATTTGTGTTGACGAGTGAAAATTATCCAGATAATTACGACGATGATTTAGATTGTCGTTATACAGTTCGTCGTTATAGTGACAGCGTATGTCGAATGGAATTGACCATTACTAGTTTTGAACTCCAAGAAAGCGAAGATTGCCAAAATGATTATTTAGAAGTTGAAGGAGAGAAGATATGTGGAAACATTCCCGATAATACTGTTAGTAAGTATTTTTTAATGATTTTAACTTATGGCACTTTAAAAATAATATAAATTTTATATATTTAATGTAATAAAATTATTTTATTTTTGTTAAGGAACATACGACTTCCGAGAAGAAGAAAAAACAATTGCATTTCACTCGGATTCCTCTGTCACTGGCAAAGGATTTGAAATTTTAATTAAACAAAAAGAATGTGAACCATTGACTACAGAAACTACCACTTTGGCTCGAGTTCAATGCGACGAGGAATTCACCGAAACCGAATTCGATTTAAATAGTCCGAATTATCCCGAAGAATATGCAACTAATTTAAATTGTTTGTATACTATAAAAAGATCTAACACGTCTATATGCCGATTAGAAATGATGATTTTGTCATTTGATGTGGAATCGAGTAGTGGATGCGAATACGATTATCTGGAAATTGACGGTGAACGATTGTGCGGAACATTAGAAAATGTAACAAGTAAGATATCTTTTTACTATAAATGTTATTCAATTTTTTACTGATTTTATATATAGTAAACCATCGTTTTTATAGCCTAATTTTTTTTGCTAGAAAACTGTTTCTAAGATAGTCGTTGTAAGTTAAATACTGATTTCTCGTAGGCTTAGTGTCAAAAGTTGAAATTTTGTTTCTGGAAATGAACTATATACTTCTAATACAGTAGAACCTCGAAAACTCGGCTCTCGATAACCCGGCACTCCGGATAACTCGGCCACACTCTGGCAGAGCAAAAAAATCTTTAGTTAATTAATTTTCATTATAGACAGCTTTATAAAAGTATAAAAGCTCTCATAAAGTATTATTCTGAGGTCTGTCTTATCAGGTAAATTACTGTACACAGTGTATTCATTAATTTTCATTTTCATGTAGTAAAGGCTCTATGCCTCCATAAAGGACATACTTTTCCTTTGTTTAAGGGAATTTGAACAATTTATTCTCTGTTGTATTCTCAAGTAAACAATACATACAAGTACAGTACAGTATTTTCTGAGGAAACACTCGTACTTATTTTTTTAACCCCATTCCCGATATCCCGGCATTTTCACAAACTCTGCCACCCTTCGGTCCCCATTAGGCCGAGTTTTCGAGGTTCTACTGTACCATAATAAAATAGCCAACAAAACAAAATCTTCATATAAATACATTATTTAATCATAATAGAAAATTTACTGTATTCTACTGTATGGTATTAATTAAGTAGTATATTATGCTGTTTGATTAACAAGATTCTACATTTAATTCAGTTTTCCTATGAACTAACCTAACAACTTCAATTGTATATTCAAAGTTAACTGTTGTAAAAGTTAATGCGACAACAAGGATTACGCCATAAAAATTGTACAGTACACGGTATAAGGAACATGCCGAGACATGACTTTAAGAGACACAAACGAAAGAATTACACACTTCTCTCAATACAAAACATGAGTTCAGTCTAAGCACTTCACTTTCTTAATATAAGAGAAAAGGCTGCCGTACACTCGGTATGATGTTTCCTCTAACGGAAAAGTAAGAAAAAGCAAGATGGCACAATTTATACGGTTTCTCCTAATGATTCTGTAAATAAAACTTTTAATATTGAATATATTATTAATATTATTAGAATTATTGTAAAAAAATTATTATTAATATATTTATTAAAATTTACACGTACGTTTTAGGAACTTATAGCTTTCGAGATTTCCAGAAAACACTTCGATTTAAGACCGATTCTGCTACAACCAGATCTGGATTTAAAATCCGACTGAAGCAAATCGATTGCGAAGCTCAAGCCAGTAGTACTCCTCGTCAATGCGATCGAGTGAACACAGGGCTACAATTCGAAATTAGGAGCGAAAATTACCCACAAGATTATGATCATAATTTAGATTGTATGTATACCGTACATCGCGTCAGCAACGAAATCTGCCAATTGGAGTTAATGTTCTTAAAGTTTGATATCGAGAGTAGCGATGATTGTAAAACCGATTATTTGGAAGTTGATAATCAAAAATTATGCGGTGTTCTTCCCGAAAATATGAGAAGTAATTCCAAAACCAATTTTATATTTTAAAATGCTTATACATTCATTGGTTAATTTAATATAATTTAATTTTAAAGGAGTTATAGAATTTACTACCGACGTCAAAACGTTCCATTTTCATTCGGATAGTACCACTTCTCGCCCCGGTTTTGATATAAGAGTAACACAAGTAGAATGTCCAGAAGTTACTTCTACGACAGAAGGTAAAGTAGTTGATTGCTCTTTGAAAAAATATCCTTCTATGATTGTCAAATAATATATATATATTTTTTTTTTTTAATTATTGCTCTAGTTCCAGCATCAGTTTGTGAACATAGATTTTCAGATTCGAGTGGAACCTTTGAAAGTTTGGGTTATCCAAGTGATTACTTAAATAACGTGAGATGTACCTATACATTTTTAGCTCAAGAAAATAATTGCCGATTAGAATTGACGTTTCCTCAGTTTCGCCTAGAACCTTCCAATACAATTTGCGAACATGATTTTCTAGAAATGAATGGCGTTAGATACTGCGGTCGGCAATTAGAAGGACAAACTAGTGAGAGAATTTAAATTCATAACTTGTTTTATTAAATTTCATAAATTGAAATACGTGTTATACGTTCACTTATACAGGAACTGTATCCTTCCATGGAAATCCTCCTCAAGTTAAGATCCAGTTTCAAAGCAATGATCGAGTAACGGAATTGGGATTTCAAGCAAATTTTCAACAGTTACCTTGCGTGCAGTCACAAGGTAAAAATGATGAGAATTGTTTGTTATTATCATTTTGACATTTCAATTTAAATATAATACTTAAAATTTCTATTTTCATAGCTTTAAAAACGACAACGCCAAAGCCATCAAAATCTCCTTATCCCACGATTAATTGTGATCGATTATACGCTTCCTTAGATTTTGAAATTAGAAGTCCAGGCTATCCTAACACTTACACAAATAATCTCAATTGTCGTTATACCGTTCATCGCCTAAGCAACAGAATCTGTGAACTGAGATTAAATTTCATTATGTTTGACGTCGAATCGAGCACGGGGTGTGAATACGATTATTTCGAAGTAGAAGGTGAAAAATTATGTGGAACGATGCCAGGAAATAGCATTCGTAAGTATCGATATTTCTTGACATATTTAAACAAGATGATCACTAATTTAAATTAGCAATGGAATATTAATGAGGTGACACTTCCATTAAATATCGCTTTGTTAGATAAAGGAATTCGGGACACAAATTCTAACTTATTTTCATCTCTTATTTCTATTATATTATCATTTTATTTGCTACTAGCTTACCCGTCGCGCATTGCTGTGATCTCAGAAGAAACGAAATTTAAGCAAACTCGTTATGATAAAATTCAATTTACATTTTATCATTTTTATTGAAACTTATTATTATAATAATATTATTATTCATTTTCATCGGGAAAACATTCCAAAGTGTCGTTTCAATTCTATTTATTTATTGGAGTGCTTGTGGATACACGATATTTTTTGTTTTTCCGTCTGGTGCGTACACGAATAAATCAGAAGGTTTTCCGACGCGTGAGCTGGCCACATACAGTTGTCCATGCGAGAAGCACGGATTCTCCAAATTTAGCCCACACACTTGCAGCGATTGTCAGAAGTGCGATATTCCCCATTTTTATATATATTTTTAAATCCTTTATAATTTTAATTATTTAATTGCTCCTTCCTCTCTTCCTTGGCATGTTGTGAAATTTCTGATAGTTGGATAATAAACCGTTTTATTGTAATTTGTCTTTTTAAATTATTTTGAGTCGATATTAAAATTTGGAAAAGGGGATGCCTAGATCGGTAAAATAGGCGAATTTCCTCCTACAACTTCGGTTGTTGTTCAGGATACAGTTAAGGTTTTAACAAAGTTCGAGCGAATACATAATTAGCAAAAAATAGTTGAAATAAAGTGATTAAACAAAAATTATTACAAATATCGTAAATAACGGTTCACAAATGCACATATAAAGATATTTTTTGAAGGGGGGAAATGGTCTTCACAATTTGAAATCGATCGAACACACAGTATAAACGCGCGCCATCTATTGTAGGATAAATGTACTATGCCAGAACCTTCGTGGGAGTGTATGGGAACAGTAGCGTAGCGTAGTGGGGGCGGCAGGGGCGGCCCGCCCCGGTCGGCACTTTTTAGGGGGCGGCAAAATTTGACAATAAATAATAATAATATCTTGTAAGAATTTGAACCATTTTATTTCATATTTTCGTGTATACCTACGATTCGGACCGATTCAAATGAACACGGAATAGTGGGAACAGTGTCACCATCCGACTCGCCGTCCGGGGATATCTTGCGCGACCTGTCGACCTTTTTTTTTTCTTTTGCTTGTACGATTCATTCGTACTCATATACACCTCCAATATCCAATAGGACTAAGTCATCTAGATTACTTGCGTTACTCCTACCCAAGTCTCCCTAGTCGCTAATTGTAACTGATTTAGAACCAGCATGCACTGCAAATTATTCTTCATAGCAAAACGATATACGCATGCGTCAGGAACTTCTGTTCGAACAAACTTCACCTGCGGTCAGGGTCGGCGATTTTAAAAAGGTGGCAACACCAGCACGGAATTTTTCATTACTTATTCTATGACGAAACTGAATTTTAGTCTTTTAAATTGAGATACCTAAATAAGGGGGCGGCGAAATTTTCCTCCGCCCCGGGCGACTGACACCCACGCTACGNAAAACGCATCCCCGTTATCCCCCTATGCCTCCTCATCCTCATCATCCTCCTCCTCATCTGCCTCCTCCTCCTGGTGTACCCACTAATTGCGATCAAATATTCACTCAAAACGATTTCGAATTTAGGAGCGTCAATTTTCCAGATTTTTATCCAAATGGCATTCATTGCCGATACACCATAAGAAGAACGAATGACGGAATTTGCAGATTAGAATTAAAATTTGTAAAATTTGAAGTGGAATCTAGTCCAAATTGCCTTTATGATTATCTTAGTATTGATGGTATCAGAATATGTGGAAATATCGAAGATATTAAAGAATAGTGTTACTAGGAAACAATCGTAAACATCTCTATAAATATTAAAAACAGAAATCTTTAAATAAATACTTAATTTATGAGCACTAATTTGAATAAAATGATAATTCTTCTTATAACCATTTTCTTATACTATATCGTGAAGTGCATTATTTTATAATAAAGTGGCATTGTTTTACTTTTATCGTTGTCATTTTTATATAGATATTTTACATTTCGTTTTTTTAGTGAAACAATTAACAAATTGATTCAAAATTACCGATAAAATTTTATTATATATAAAAGTATTTTTCTGTCTGTAACATCAAAAGAATTGATAAGATACAGAGAGCAATAATTGAGTAAAATGGATTCTAACCAGTCAAAATACAATCTTTTAAATTAATCATTTTCTCAATTGTTTATTTTCATGTATGCTGGCTGTATAATTTGATTACTCTCCTTAATTAGACTACTTATTCAAAGTTTTAAAACATTAATGTGGAAACCTCTTAAATTGTAACGTCGGAAAATAGCGATGATAATAACGGTAATAAATTTGTTACAAGTGATATTGATCATTCTAAGTACGATAAATAGTGGTAATTAGATCTAATGACAACAAATTTCGGACTTAAGAGTTAGTGCAAATCATCTATGTGACACTCATGACTAAAACATATTATTGCAATGTCTATCGATAAAAGTAATCTTTTGAAGAGAAAATAATTATTGTACCAAATCATAAAATATATAATACTCTTTCATATATATGTTACAGCCAAAGCGGAAAGTGTCAAATCGTCCGCCAAATCGGAAAATGGCCAATGTCGCTGTAAATTGACTGGCCAATGTCCGATCTTTTCTAGATTTTGGAATTTGGCCGTCTAGATTGCGAAATGGCATGGAGCGATTAGCCAAAGTTGGGAAGAAAAAAGTCATGGTCATTTGTAAGTTATCTACGACCACTTCTCAGCCCCACTTTTGTTTTGCAGCCAAACATGGCCTCGTAGGACGATTGCTGAATGCATTGGTGAAAAGAACGGTTTTTCATGAATTAAATAAATCGGAGATCCTTATCCCAGTGTGTTGATTTATTTGTCTGCATCCATTATATTCTGAACATCCTGGTTAGCATGTTCAATGGAATCTTGGCTTTGGTTATGCCTCAGTTTTCCTTGTACTAGTTTCAGTTCAGGCAATATATTCTTTAGTTCATTTATAACTTCGTTCGCAAATTTTCTCTCATTATCTTATTGAAGCCCACTTGGAGCATCTATAGTGGTGAAGAAATCAAGTAGCTGGAAAGCAACTTCTGTTCTTTTGCTTTTCAGAGGTCGCAATAATATAAACTATAAAATATAATAATTAAATGATCCTGATAATTGAGTATAAACTTGTACTTGCTGTCAGGATTACTTTGCATGTAAGATCTACCTGGCATCTTGAGTTAAATTCTTTAGATATCAAAGGTTTAGAAATTAGATCTTTCTTAGGATTTGACAATTTGGTCTGACATGACTTGCGTAAGCGGAGGTACAATGTAATCACTTCTTTGGTGACATTTTTGTACTTAGCTTTTAGTTCCTTTTCCATCCGTGTGCGACTTCCATATCCAATTTTCAAGTGAGTATCGTGCAATATGTCGAAAAATTCTTCTGTATGCACATAGTACATCGCCATTGCGTCCATTTTGTCCTGTTATTGGCACAAAAAGTGTTTCTTTGTCGTTAACTTCAATAACATCATAGTTTCTTAGTCAATGATAGTCAACTCTCTTTTTTGTGCTTTGCATTTGCCTGTTTAACATCCTCTATAAAAGCGCCGTATTTGTCTCTGATGAAGATCGCGCTATTATTTGCTTTTACTGTACTTGCAGTAACGTATTCAAAAGTATCCGAGAATCTGATTTTTTATCAAATGTTGGTTCCGCATTTACATGTAGTCCAACTTCACCCATTATATTTGTTTCATCAGAAGTAGCCATGAGAAAACCTATGGAATAACAATTATGAATATTTGAAATTGTAATATTGTTACATGGAATACAGCCCCAGTAAATTGTGTTCTGTTGCTAATTTAATACGTTCCTTTATAGAAAATCGTGTTGTAGTAAACAATCCTTTATTTACCTCAGCATAATTACTATATGCTTTTTCCAGCAATGTGTGTCATCAACACATATTATACGTGCCCTACGACTTAACCTTTGAACTAAAGTATTCATATAGAATACTATAGAAATACGATGAATATAGTACTCACAATGAAACTGTTATGTCAGAATAATAAGAACAAGTCACAGAGGCATGACCTTCTCCAAAAAGCAGCAGACATATGGAATATTAGGGTCCAACGTGGCACCTTCCTTGCTAGCACGAGCACAGCACGATCGCATCGGAAGCGAAAGATGTGCCTCCTTCCAGACAGTTTTGCATCCGCACATCGAATTTTGGCCAGGAATTTCCCGCCACTTCGCGAAATTGCCAGCCAAAGTAGCATATACACTGGTCATTTCAAGTATATCGGACATTGGCTACTCCTCTCGGCCAAAGTGCGAAAATATAGGCCTACAGCCAATTCAGAAACAGCCCATACTTCGGGCTTTGGCCGTAACAATTTTTTTTATTATTTACATATTACATATACTGTATATTATAATTATAAACGTTTATAGTGTTTCATTAAATTTCATTAAAAAATCTTTATTTTCTACTCATCGTAGCCCAAAACTTTTCTATTTTTAACGAAGAGTTTCCGTTTTATAATGTAAAATATTATTGCTAATTAAAATTTTGATCAGATCACTGTCTTACCTCAAATACAGCTTATATAATTTTTAAATTATTTTCTTATATTTAATAGGTGAAATGGAATTTCGCGATTATCAAATTGAACTTAAATTTCACTCCGATCCAGCAAATACTAGACCAGGATTCTTGATTCAAGCAACACAATTAGACTGTATGAGAGAGTCGCCTTTTCGTCCATATGACAGGAAACCACACCCTCAGTATCCTCCGCCTTCTTTTCCATCCAAACATCCACCGTCTTCGTTTCATCTTCCTTCAAAACCTTATCCGGACAGAATGCCTCCCTATCTACCGAAGACGCATCCTCGCTATCCTCCAATGCTTCCACCAAAAACGCATCCCCGTTATCCCCCTATGCCTCCTCATCCTCATCATCCTCCTCCTCATCTGCCTCCTCCTCCTGGTGTACCCACTAATTGCGATCAAATATTCACTCAAAACGATTTCGAATTTAGGAGCGTCAATTTTCCAGATTTTTATCCAAATGGCATTCATTGCCGATACACCATAAGAAGAACGAATGACGGAATTTGCAGATTAGAATTAAAATTTGTAAAATTTGAAGTGGAATCTAGTCCAAATTGCCTTTATGATTATCTTAGTATTGATGGTATCAGAATATGTGGAAATATCGAAGATAATGACGTAGGTAAGAATGCTACTTAATTATATTTATCTTAATTTTTATTTTAAGAGATACTGTATATAAACTATAATACGTAATGATATTTAATTATTTATTTAAACAAAACTTTTGTATTTATTGAGATTATCTTCAGAAGAAAAAACACTTTGTTCAAAATATTTTATAGTTAGTAACCGGTTAGTGCTTGTCTTTGAATAATTTCATTCTTCCAAATGAATTGGTTATTTAAATCCTGAATATTAGAAAATCATTTATAGATGACAGAATATTTTTGAATGAAATTCTTATTTAGCGAAATAAATATTTTCATTACAATTTTATATACAAAATACGGGAGAAAACAATCAAATACAGAAGACTCTAGTTAATTTGAAGTGAAAAGAACATAGAAAAACTTTCGAGTTACGGAAACTATCATTTTTTATGAGATTGTAAATATTACATTATAAATAATATAGACATTATAAATAATATTTTATTATGTTTTAGATAAGTATTTGTACAGAATGACAAAATTCTGTTACCCAAGTTTGTTGCGGACGATTCGTTGCTTGTTACTCAACAATGTTTTCGGTGCGGTCGACTGCCTCGAAAGCATCTTGCTTTATAAATGATATTTCAAGAAAGCCCCTTAAAACCTTGAGAGCTTTTCTGGCATTCTTACATATAATGAAAACAAGATATTTGTCCTTAACAGGCTTTATTTCTTCCTCATTTTTATCGCATATTCGCTTGGTTCTTTACTTCGGCAATGATGTCCTCGGATAAGCATCCGCAAACAGCTAGGTCATTGTCGACGTTGATAAAAACCTTCAAATTACAGTTTTTACTCACTCACTGCTATAAAATGAGATCGACCCAGTCTTCTTCGGTATAGTCCGTGGATTATGATAAAAATTCCGAAACCGTCATTAAAATTTTGACGGAAACCTGCTTTCGTAAAGCAAGTTGTGTTTGCAGTCGTGCTTTGTGAAACATTATTCAAAGCTTTGGTAATCACTCATATTGAACGTAGTAGGGTCACGCCAAACTCACGTGATCCATCATCAATAACGTGCAACATCTTTCGCACAATAAACTTTCTATATTGTAATTTTAAGTTCTGAGTGATTCGGTAGACTAAAGCTTGCAATATAGAAATTATGTTTGGTGTAAAAAATGAACTTTTATAGCTTTCAGGTGGGAATCATCGAATGTGCACTAAAATTATCCATCAAAATGAGTAGTATTTCTGTTTATGGCAATCTTGCGAGTGTATAGCTTTCAGTCAGTTAGAAAAAGCTAAAACGTCATTGTACTTTCTTATTTGATTCAGTTGTTATTCTGTACAATTTCTACACATTGATTCGTACGTTTACAACTCTAACATATTATATGTTAGAATGTTTATATCTAATTATTTCCTTAATTTATTTTCTGATATAAAACCAAATGAAAAAGGTTGTAAATACATTACTTATAATTATACTTAAGCTACATACATATTAACATGATATAAAATTTAAAATTTAACTTTGCTTAAATGTTTGAAAATATGTTAGACGTAAATAGGACAGAAGAGATTTCAAAAATATTGTTAATATTAACATAATCATGAAGTGTTAAATATTATATGTATAGTTACACAAGCACTATTTTTGAAGGAAAGCTACCTTTGTTGTAATATCTATTGACCTTGTAATATTTTTCTTTTATTTTGACATAACATGAATTTACATTATGTGAACCACCACGATATTTCCGTGTTTATGTGAATAATAATTTATTTTAAAAATAATGAAGTATATACTCTCATACAATATTTTCTTAAACTTTTTACTTTGAATCAGTTGAATAAAATCTATAAAAATTATCTATAAAAAATTATAATTAATTTTATTCATAGTAATTATATTTAAACTGAATTTATGTTTTTAAGATCATTGCAATATTAACACAATTCATTAATCTCGCTTAATTGATTTTAATTAATAATAGTAAACGTAATATAAAATTATATTTAATTTATTCAAATGATTGAGTTTTCAATAAATTACTTTAAATTCTTCTTTATTATTCATTTATAAATTTTAATCTTCGATATATTAAGTTCGGATCGTTCATTAGAAGATAACGAATAATAATTACGTATTATTCTTATATATTTTGTTGAAATTATTTCTTTTTATTTTTCCAGCTACGTATAAATTTAATACCCCAGAAAAACTGATTTATTTCCAGTCTGATTCGGTATCTCCATCTCGGGGCTTTCTCATCAAAGGACATCAGAAACCATGCACTGGAAAATCCCCTCATATTCCTAGTACGCAACTATAACAAATATTTTAAGGTTTTTCGAGATTTAATGAAAGAATTGATTATAAATTAAATTCTAAATGTATAAACGAAATGTATTTTTAAATATCTAAATGAAATAAATAATTAAAATAAAATGTTATGTGATTGTTTTTAGCTGTACCTCCAAGTGCCACGCAGTGTGATGCCACATTTAATCAAGAATCGTTCACTATTAAGAGTCCTAATTATCCGGATAATTATCCGACGGATATTTCTTGTAAATATACTGTAAAAAGATTTAATGATGCTGTTTGTGCGCTAGAAGTAACGTTTCTCGGTTTCGATTTGGAGGAAGAAGCTTCGTGTAGATACGATTATTTGGATTTTGATGGAAAACCTATTTGTGGCCACATAACATCAAATACAATTCGTAATTGAATTTTTTTCAAAATAACATTTTCATTTACAATTATAAAAATATTAAAATTATCATTAATTTTTAACTTACAGGTCGTTATAACTTCGGTCTTCGGTCTGTTGATAAAGAAATTATATTTCGATCGGACAGAGCAGCAACTAGGTCCGGTTTTCACATTCAAGTTCGACAACAAACGGATTGTGCTCCTAAATGGAAACCAGGTAAAATAAATGTTAAAAAAAAAAATTCCCTTTTATTTTTAAATGGAATAAGTATTTTCATATTAATTGCTACTTTTTAATAATTCGATTAAAATTATATTAATTTAAACTGAAGTTCAAAAACTGAAATTCTATCAATGTTAAAATTACTTGAAGCAACCTGTAAAGAAATAAAAACAATTTAAAACGAACTAGCACAAGATCTCTCTTTAAAAAATAACAATAAGTACAGTAAATAAAAAAGTTATGAATTACTAGTCTAAGTCCTTTGTCTATTATTTTAAAAAGAAAAAAAAATCATAAACCGTTAAATCATTTCAGTTACTCCTCCTCCTCCTCTTTGCGATTACTGTTTGAAAGAAGAACGAGGTCACATCACCAGTCTGAATTATCCACGCGATTATGCCGATAATCTTCGTTGTTCTTATAAAATTGAAAGAGTAAACAGATATTGTGGTTTAGAAATGTACTTTCACGAATTCGAAATAGAAAGTTCTGTTGGATGTAGAAAGGACTATATTTTAATTAATGGAAATAGATATTGTGGTTCCGAACTCAAACAACAAGTCAGTAAGTAATATTTTTTGAGATTAAATTTGCTCTTATAGAAGTAAATAGCTGGGATCATTTGTCAATAATTTAGTTTTAATATTCATTTTTTATTTATTCCAGTTAAAATTAATCTTTCGAGATTAAAATAACATTATATTTAAAGTAAAGTAAATATAATAAACTTATGATTCCGTATTTTATTGTAATTTTCAAAATATGAATTTATTGATATATTTATTGCATATCGATTATTTTTGATAATTTTTAACTTATATTAAAAAGTATTGTTATTCTGATTTCATATGGGCTATACTATATATTTAACGTTTATATGGGGCTGATGAGGGGGGGCAATATTTACTCGTATGTGCAATAAGAATTATATATAACTATACTAATTCAATACAGTTTAAATATTAAGTACTATATTAAAAACAACCGAAATAGTTTTGAAACTGATTTTGATGAAGATCAAGTTTATTTATGACAATCGAATTCTCAGATTAATCAAATAATCCAGATATATTAATTACTTATATTAAATTTTAATTAAAAATAATCACCAAAGGGTTCATGTTTCGATAGACATTCGATATTCGATAGACAAATAAATATAAGTAATAAAATTTATGATAACTTATAAAATTTAGCTTCTAATCAAAGTTTTTAATATTTTCAGAGGAACTATCCTTTCCAAATAAATTTCCATTCGAGATAAAATTAACTTTTAATACAGACAAAAGTATAACTAGATCTGGTTTCCACGTAGAATATCGCCAAATACCCTGTCAACAAATGCCTTGGTTAAAACCTTTTGAAAGTTTAACTCCTCGACAAGGAAGAATGGCATTACACAACAGGACAATAATTAAGATTGAAAAACAAAATGAAGCTTTAATGTATTTTAACAGCACAATAGAAAACTCTACCACTACCATTTCATCTATCACGGAGAACACTGAAAATGTTAATAAACAGTAACAAGATCGTAAGAGTATGAAATGACAATCTTCAAAATAAGAAAATATGGTTTGATATAAATATAATCGGGAATATTTACATGGTTCAGAGGATGATCAAAAAAATTTTTTTATAAAATGAGTTTAATATTATGTGTTTTACATCAAATATGCAAGCCTGTAAATATATTTAATGTTTGTTGGAAATGTTTATAAATATTGTCTTAAATTCGGGTTAAATTTGAAGCCAACAATACGACATTTTATAGGTTCGGTTATCTAAATTTCATGTAAATGAAATTCAAATTTAAGGACAATAAAACAGTTCAATCAATAAAAACTATTAATTTAAAAATTTCAGCAGTTCGGGTCAACCGTGAAAGATTTTATTTATGTTATCAGAAAAATAAATTTTAATATTATCCAACAATTAGTAAGAATATTCGCAGTTCAGTTTGTACAAAAATAATTTAAAATGTTAAACAATTTATTATATATATATATTTAATATGAAATTTAAAACCTTTATTACAAATGAAAGGTAAACAGAAANTCATTTAACAGTTTCAAATATTAAATTTATAAAAAAAAAATATAATTAATAAATAATAATTTAAATTTTAAAATATTTAAAAATCAATTTCAAAAACCAACACACAAAATTAAAGTATAATGTTTCAAATTGTGCATTAAATTAGAAACATAAAGCTAATCGTAAACATTTAATAAAGATAGAGAAAAAAACGCTGTTTTATATACTCGAAAGCTTTCCCCCGAATATATGAAAATAAATTCAGTAAAGATAAGGTTTATACCCGTGGTTCTCAATCTTTTTGAAGTTGGGGCACACTAAACTTTGATATTTTTTTCCGCAGAACACTTACAACACAATTAGTTTTAAAGCAGGTGTGGAAAAAATTTTATAGATAAACAGCACACTCGGTCTAGTATATGACGTCATTGGCGTTTGCTGATTACATTCCCATACAAAAATTATTTTACATTGTATCGATTTTTCTTTTGCAACAATTTTTAATTAATTGTATATTTGATTTTTTGCGGAACACTTGAAGTAGCTTCACGGAGCACCCGTGTTCCGCGGATCACGGATTGAAAACCACTGGTTTATACACTGGAACTTCGCTTAAAGAGCATAATTCGTTCCAGAATCTATACAATCTATACTAATATTATAAAGAGGTAATGTTTGTAAGTATGTATGTATGTATGTATGTAAGTTTGTTTGCAGCAGGTAATCTCCGAAACTACTCATCCGATTTCAAAAATTCTTTCACCAATATTTAGAATGGAACCTCAGGATGGACATGGTTGTATATTATTTCGTTAAACATTCATATAAATTAAAATATATAATCTAGGTTAAGGCTTTTATGTCCAACAGATGGCGCTACGAGTACGACGCTTTAAGTTTGCTTTTCTGTGAGGCATTATGCTTTTCTGTGAAAATGAACTAAAGCAGATCATCTTCTATCTATCTATATAAATAAAAATGTAATGTTCGTTTGTTCCTACCGATTCCTTTGAAATTTTGACACAACGCTGCATTCGAATACGCACGTGTTTTTATATAATATACGTGTCGAAATTCCCCCCACTGAAGGGAGATGGTTAGGATTAAGGCTTACCGTAAAGAACTCTGCTTCTATTTATACTATTTTAGATGCGGTTTTTTGCGTTTTAATAGGGTACGTCAACAGAATGTACACTAAGAAGAAATTTTTCGAAAAATTTTTCCCCCACGGGGAAGTGTTATAAATTTATAATAGATACATTTTGAGCCACAACAACGCGTGGCAGGGTCTGCTAGTAATTTATATAATTATTGTAAAATACGATAATGCGTTCCTTGCCGAAATAAATACTCAAATATTTTATGTATAACGTTTATTCAAAGAAAATTATACAATATACATTCTTAACTCACACCATTTCAGTTAAGATTTAAAACTCTTTATTTTCTTTGAATACCTTTACACGAGTTAGAAAATTCTAGCTCGTTACCTTTACAGAACACAAATGGTACGCCCATGGAGTAAGTATTAGTGTTGCAACGAATAGTATATTCGGCCTCAGGCCGAATACCGAATATTCGGCCAAACTATTTGGCTTGATTAACGCACGTACGAAAATTGGCGCACAAACCGCATCACGGCAAGGACCCTGCTCTCCATTGGCCCGCTGTCACTACGCTTCGCCAATCGCGTTAATTCTTGACAGATGTAGAGGACAGACAAGAGCGTCATGGCAGTATGCGATAAATGATGATATCAAATGTGGATAACAATGAAATGACCTACACGTGTAAATAACGGAAAAAGAACAGAGAAGGACCGCAAAGTGAAAATATGAAAATAAATATGAAATTGAGTTGATAACATAATCGAACAAGTCGAAGCAGCTTATTGACGCGAAATTTGCGGCCGTCAATGCCAAACAATTGTTGTCATACACTTCGGAAAGCTAAATGCTTGTAATGAAAGTCACTTAGCGTGCACGGGCGAAAGCCTGGGACCGTTCGGGCTATCAAGCTGTCTCGAATCTGTGAAATCATAACTGTGACATATACCGACGTCCTATCTGTCTCTTTTCTCCGTTATCACCAGACTATGAGTCACGTAATTATAAAATGGAAAAACTACGACGGAAAAGTGACGAATCCAAAGTAACGTGAGCGCGTAGTATGATGTATTCATAGGCATACGTGGACTAGAGAGATAGAGGAAAGAGAAAGGAAAGAGCAAAGACGAGCGCTTAAAAAGGATAGGCAGGGTCAGACCCTCAGATGTG